AATCTAAGTGATGGAAAACAATCATCTCTCACGATCTTAAGACGAACTTGAACTTCTATTTACAGTTGAAAACTGCGGATGTTGACATGCTGAGTTCCTTCTCTGCATTTTTTTTTTTTCTTACTTCAAAGTCGTGCCATTATACGGAAATTGGAGCCAGCATGTCTGAACGACAGAAAACGACGAAAACAATCACTTAAGCTTGTTTTGTTTCTTGTCAGTACGGTACTGTAGTTTGTTTCATTCCGCAGACTTCTTTTCTCATTAAGCTTCGTCGGACGGCGTCACGAAACGCAACGTTGCTTGACAGAGAGGGGGCCAGAGGTAACCGCCGGCGCATCTTGAAAAAGTTGGCCAATATTTTCTAAGTTTATCTTTTGTTGCATCTTCCGCGGTCATAACCATCCTAGTTTATTATTCTCTCTTTTATGTTTTTCTACATTATTTTGAGGTTTACTTATTTAGATTTGAAATTACTTTTCTTTTACATCAGAAAAAGAACTTAAAATATCGTGATATACCTCCTTAAACTAAGCATCTTCGGTAAAATGGTTTGGATTCTTTTTCAGATTTGTTGATATTTCAAAACTCCCATTACATGATCACTACATGAAGCAGTATGCCGATGTTCTGTACCGCTGGAATCTGCTGGGCAAAAGAGCTGAAGTGATTAAATTCTTAAGTGAGCCTCAACAACCGCATAATGGAGTGGGTAAGTGAGAAACTCCTAGCAAAAAGGGCCTGATTTTGTAGAGTGCATTGCAAAAGATTTTAGTCATGTGAGGTATGCTTTTGTTTAAGGTCATTCAGGTTGCAAGCTTTTGTCTGCAGTACATTTTAATAAGTTTTAAGAAAACTCCGTTAGCAGTACAGCGGCTTGAGAGTTGCATTGTCTAGGTACGTAAAACGTTTTATTTCATTTTGTTGTCAACTTTTCGACTGATTATTCTCGTTAACATTCTTGTCTTGTTATAGAGTTCAGCACTCGTTGTCACAACTGTACGCATACGCTACGTGGAGCTCAGTGCTACTCTTGTAAAGCTTTGGGACTTCAGTGTGTTATATGCCACATTGCTGTCAGAGGTAAGTTGCAGAGAAACGAGTTTTGAGTAGATCTTACTTTAAGTCATTTCATGGTGCCTAAACTGATCTCGAGTTCTTCTGTGCGATGCTTTATCCCTCGCCTCAACTCTTAGAAAAACGTAGTTGAACGAAAACAAATACTGTTTTATCTCTGCCGCCAACGGACATCGTCTTTTCTCTAAAATGTGTATTCTCAGTGGAGAGCTGAGGAGAGCGGTCGCGCAGTTTTGGCGCCAAAACACCGAAAGCGTTTTGGCGCTCAATTTTAACAAATTCAGATAGAGAGGGTATTTGTTTTCAGTCGTATGTAATTTCATTCACTCATATCTCAATGTTGGCCCACGGATTATTTTCTTGCTAAAAAGACTCTCAATTTCAATCTAACCCTCGCTCTGCATGCGGCTTTCAGGTCTTTTGTTGGTGTTGTATCTGTTACAAATGTTGTTAAAAAACAAGTGGAAAAGATCTTCGTATTTGTGACGAAACTTTACTGAATATTTGTAAAGATTCGGACCCACCAGTGAACTATATTTTCTTTCTTTCATTCCGTTGTGCTCCAGTTGCGTTAATGTGCTACTTGATTAAAGACCAATAAACGTAAAATGTATGTTAATAATTCCGTAAATTCCCAAACTTCTTTCTTTTATCGGATGTAACTCCTCTTTTTCTCTAAAAATTCCCCACGAAGTTGTGTTAGCTCAGGGTTTAAGACCACAACTTTCATGAATTATGTATTTGGTATGATTAACTGATTTCGTGTGTACAAACGTTGTCTTTTTTCATTTGATTGTACCAGGAGCCAGCAATTTCTGTGTAGCGTGCGGTCACGGCGGACACACTTATCATCTCATGACTTGGTTTGAGACAATGGAAGTCTGTCCTTCAGGGTGTGGCTGTAGATGCTTAGAAGTTGGGACATTTATCGTGGATTGACTGTTTCCCTTACACAAGGGGGGTTACATGGTAAACACTGTCGCAACCATGTGCACACGGGTTAGCGAGGACTAGCGAAGCAAACGTTACCGTGCGCTACCCGAGTTTCAACGCACAAAATCGTTGCGAAGCAAGTTGCAGAAAATGGAATTGTTATGTGGCAGTTTTCAAGAAAGTTATGAGACAAGTTTACAGATACTACAAATTGGGGAATGCCGAAATTGACTTTAATTTCAATGGAAGGGAACGTAGAGATTCAAGTTAACTGATGGCTAGGTACAGTGTTACTTGGTAAATTTTACTGGAGTTGTTTTTTCCTTCTGATGGGACGAAATTGTTGACAGCTCGCTGCCGAAGCAGAGTGTATTGACAGTACTACAAAACTGTGGCACATTTATAGGGAGGAAATTCGATCAACACCCAGCGCAAGTGATCCTCTGGGGGGAAAGACCTGTAGAGGCAGTTGCCCGATGTAACTGCTTGTAGATACCACGTATGAGGAAGAATTGTATAAAATTCTATTAGTACTCGACCCGCGCTCAAGGTCGCAAAATAACTGAGTAAACAGAATCAGTAGCCCCGACACAACCACCCGCTCTCAAGAAAGATCGGAGTGTGGCGACGCCTCTGATCTTTCTTGAGAAGAACGTGTGAGGCTGACCTCTACTTAGAATGAGACAAAAGTTTTCAAATAAAGTCACATTTAATGATGTAAAACTAGCAGCAACTGTTTTACGTCTCGAGGGTTAAGGCCGATACACACGAGGGGTTTTGCTCCTGGGTTTTGCTCCAGGGGCAAGCTCCAGCAGCAAAGCTCCTCTGTGTGTACCAACGATTTCATGGGCGTAATTCATTCTCGGGGGCAGAACTTCCACCCTGCAAAATGCTCAACAACATTAAATGGTTAAATGTATTTGGTAGCAAGATCCCGGGGCAAATTGAACAAACTTGAAAACGCTCCCTCGTCTGTATCATACTATGGAGCAAGCTCCCAAACTATGCGCCCCGGTGTGTACTAGTCGTGCAAATTGACCCTGGAGCATGCTCCTGGAGCAAAACCCCTCGAGTGTATCGGCCTTTAGTCTCCTTCGCAGCCATTTCTAGTATTAGAAACTAAATAAACTGCAAAGCCGTGAACAAAGATCCTGCTTGATTGAATGTTGGATCTCACAGAGGATCTAATCAGCTAAACTTGAAAAGTAAAACGAGAAGTCAAAGACTACTAAAACAATATTTCGGCTGGCCAGACCAGCCTTCTTCAGGTTTAGATGTTACTAAATTATAAAAATGAAATTACAATATTGCGTAGTACCCGCCTTCTTCAGGTTTAGATGTTACTAAATTATAGAAATGAAATTACAATATTATATAGTGTTAATATTGTAATTTCATTTTAAGCTAATGCTCAATATCCTTTAACAGTGTTGCACATTATTCAGTATTCCATCCCCGAATTGTTAGTAAACTAGGCAGGGCTGAAACAGACATAAGCAAGATATTTATGTTTGACCAATCAAACAGGACGTTCTGAGGACTAAAGACATTCGCCATTTACCTGAAATTTTGGCAAAATGCGTTAAACACTGGGGGTAACCCGGCGATGAGGTTGGCGGCGATGGACCAGCATCCCCCTACCGGCCA